ATGCCTTGGGGACGCTGGTGGGTGACGGGAGGCGACGGTAGCGACGGCAGGCGACGGCACGCGGCGGAGTGGGCGAGAGCGAGAGTGTGAGGGGAGAATGAGGCCGCGAGCGGGTGTGGATAAGATACCCGTAGTAGTAGCACTGGCCCATAAAATGCGCTACTGCTATAATAATTAGCAGTAGCGTTTTTTCTTAACCAGCGCTACTACTAAGGCAATGATCATTAGCATGTAAAACAGGCATCAAATTAAAAAATCCATTGGTTATCATTGATCTTTTTGTGTAGAATCTAAATTGTCAGTATGGACATTCGCCTGTATAGGTACATGCGAGGAGTCATATTGCCACAGATCCTACACATAGAGTTCAATGAAGACCATTTGGTTGTGATAGTTTGGGAAGCACCATATTTAAGGTGGTAAAAATTCTGTTTGCGGAGCGAGGTGGGACTGAACTTTGGTCATAGGAAGGGGCTGAATTTAGCACTACCAGCAGCGCTTTTTGCGCACAAGCGCTACTACTACGCCTGGCCTACCGGCAGCGGTCTGGCAGTTATAGTAGTAGCGGGGTTTGTAACTAGAGCGCTACTGGTAAGATCATAGTAGCAGCGCTTTCTGCTGCCGAGGCTACTAATAACTAGTAGCAGCGTTGCCTTTTAAAAAAGCTCTACTAGTAAGCTCCTGTGTATAAGGTTTTTCCTAGTAGTGTTGGACCATCTTTGAATTTTTTTCCCGCCTGTTGTACCGCTAGCCGTCGGAGCAGCAGCGGCTCTCTTCTGCCGTTGCTGAGGCGACGGAGTCCGCTGACGCGCCGGAGGAGGTGGAGGAGGAGGCGGAGTCCGCTGACGCGCCGGAGATAGCTGAGGCGGAATAGGACTCTGCTGAGGGGCCTCCTCCGCCAGAGATGGCGGCTGAGGCGGCGGAGACAGCTCACGCGCCGGAGACGACTCAGGCAGTTGAGATGGCCGAGCTAGACTGTGAGGAGTCTGCTGAGGGGCCTCCTTCGGCCGAGTCTGCTGAGGCGGCTTCCAGTTTGGAAGCTTGATGTTCTCCTTTCTCCATAGACATGTACTCCTTAAGGCATTTTCTAGAAGAATCTCCCCTTCACCTGTAGGGTACTCAAGCTCCAGCCCCTCAAATCCCTCAATTATTTTATCCACCCCGACAATAGTAAGGCCATGTGGAATCAGACGACAATGGAAAGTTCCCTCAGCTCAAGGAGGTAAGGCAGAGACGACCGCCACCTTCAAGGCCAGGTTACGGTATTTCACCATTAGCACACAATGTTCATTCTCCGTGATACTATCCACGGGTAGCGAGGAGCCGTGATATCAGGCTGAACGAGCTCCGTGGAAGCCACTCCGCTGAGATAGTGGGGTAGCTTCAGGGGCAGTGTCAAATGAAGGATCTTCGTGCCACTGAGATGGTTGGCCGGTAGCTCGTTGGCTCTCTAGTTCCTCTAGTTTCGCTAATCTTGCATTGATCTTCTGCATTTCGCTTGCTTCCTGTTTCTTCTATCTCTCTCGGCTTCTATAACCACCGCTATTAGGGAAACCTATGCACCCACGGAACGGAGCCTGATGTGCCTCGTGTTCGTCCAGTGTGTTCAGGATCCCCAAGGGCCAACGGAGGCGGATACCAAAACCATTGCACTATATAATAACAAACAATAATAAAAGTAAGAATATTATACAAGTATGTATCTAAATCATACAAGTAAGTATTTTTTCTTTTAGAAAGAAGATAAGAACAAGAGGCTCACCACGGTCGTGCTGGCGACGAGATCGCTGTGGGCGATCGACGATGGTGAGGACGGGGACGGGGACGACACCCTACACATGTGCAGACTCTAAGAAGTTAATTTCAGCTCAAATTGTGCATCTAAATCAAAAGAACTCCCACATACACTCCTCCACTAAAACCCACAAACCACTCTACTTCTAGAGCATTTGAAATGAGCTAAACTAGCAGTGAGAGATGAAACAATGAAGTTGCTAACATTTTAGAACACTTGTCTAGTTGGTGCACCGCCAAACCTACACAAATCTTGAGGAAAATGTAGTTTGGAGGTCGAGCTTGAAGAGAAGAAAGCTTAAGTGTGGCTCTGGCATTTCATCGAACACCTCATGTGCATAGGAGGTGAGAACAGAGAGCAGCACACCTCCCACACGCCGGCCGGCCAAAAAACAGAGGAGTGAGCG